AACCTGCATTTTTCCTACAGGCCTTCTATGAACGTGCCAAAAACCCAAACAATTCTTATAAAAAGTAATGAAAAATTGCATTAGTTTGCAAATGTGAGAAATAGAATGAGCTTTTATATTTTACGAAAGGCAAATGTTTATAAAACGGAAAAAAATAAACCCATTAGAACTTTTCAAAACATAGCTGCTGAAAAGCAGCAGAAAATGTAAACGATTTTTTATTTGCAAAAAAAAAATTATAAATTGCATGAACGTTTATGCTAAATGTATATAAGTATATCAACATATATATGTACAAATGTATGCATGTATTTACAATACTTCTGCCAGTTTCTAAAACATTTGTTCGCCTTTCATATAAAGTTGCCTTAAATCGTGGCCAATTTGCCGCCAATCTTTGCCACAATTTCCAAGTGTAATTGTACTTACATATAAATGCATATAAATGATGTTTGTGTGTTAGTTATGCACATTTATTAGCATGTGCAGAAAATCGTGTTTTTATGCCACAAATATTGTTCTTTTTTTAACCAACTAATTTGCTATATTTAGCTAAAACTTTGACGGCAAAAGAGGGGCGAAAAAAAATAAAAATAAAAATAAAAATAAAATAAGAAAAACTGAGGCGCATAAAAGCCACTAAAATGGCAGGAAATCAGTTCAAAGTCAAAGTATTTAAACGCCAATCGATAGGGCAAATAGTGTTGGCAAACAAGCAACAACAACAGTATTGTATTGTATTTGTAGATGCAGCTGCTTTGTCTAATAAATATTGGTGAGAATAACAAAAAAAAAACAGAAAGCTCATTGAGAAGTGAAGGGAGAATGAGACTAGCATTGGAAAAATCAACGGAAAAAGCAAACAAAAATTTTTAATTTACACAATATTGATTGTCAAGCTTCACAGCAAATAATCTTAGTAATTTTTTTGCGAAGATCAAACAAGCAAATATACATGTATTTTTATACAAAGCCAGTACACCGTTAATAACTTTAATTTTAAAAAAATTGCAATTCGCACATTGAAATTGAAATTCAAAGGGACGCTTATCGCTGATAGTTGGCAGCAGAAGGTATGAGCGTATGTCCAATATATTTTTATTATTTTATTTTTTAATTTTTTGCAATTTTATTTAATAGGTTTGTAATCGCAATCGCATTTCAATCAATTTCCATGTGATGAACTTTGGCAAATGTCAAGTAAATATCAGAAAATGAGTAGTAATAAATGGGATTGGTGTTAATAGTAGCAATTATATTTATTAATAATAATGCACAATTTTTAATTTGCAATGGGAAATTAGAAAAAATTTACCATAATAAAAACTAGCATTAGATAAAATTAAGTTAATTAAATAACCCATATATAAAATTATAATAATTAAATTCAATTAAATAAACTAAAACAAAAAGTGAGAAAATAAATAACAAACAACAACGGTTAAGATGCAAAAAATTAAAAATTAAAAACAATAGATTAATATCAAATAGAAAAGAATAAAATAAAACTCAGTAATAGATGATATTAAAAAAATGGGTAAATTGAAATAAAATAAAATGAATTTATATTGAATTAAATTCAATAATATATAATCAAATAATAAAAAATATATATATAACAAAATTAAATAATAGAATAAATTATTTAAAGCAACTTATATATTAAATAAATAACTTAAAATAAAATGAAATGGCGCAAAGTAAAATAAAACCAATTAAACTAAACAAAAAAATTTAATAATACAAATAAAAGAAATAAACAAACAACAAAATAATATAAAATAAGAGAAACAAATAAAATCCAGTAAAATAAATCAAACAACATAAACTAAAATTAAAACAAATGAATATATATAAAAGAGAATAAAATTATAGAAAAAAATTAATTGAATAAATTTTAATTAAATTGATTAAAATAGAAAATATTATATTAATGAAATTATATAAAGTAAGCAAGTTTAATGGATTACATTAAATATGTATAAAAAAGTAAATAAAAATAAAATAAAATAGAGTAAAACAAATTAAACATAACCAGAAATTACATAATAATATTAAAAGGCAATAAAATAATATGAGCTAAACAAAATAATAAAAATAAAAATTTTAATTTATAAAATAAAATGAAAAAAGCTATAATTAAATAATTTTAAAGAAATTAAAAAAAAAATATTCCGAAAATAATTTAATTTAATTAAATTATTTTAAATGAAAAACAAAATTTTAATGTAAATAAAATATAATACTTTAATATATAAAAATAAAATACAAAAGAACATAAAATAAAAAAAATTAATAGAACAAAAAAGGAAAGAACGAAATTAAATTTAGTTAAAAAATTAATTAATTAAAATTAAACCAATTTATTTAAAATGAAAAAAATTATAATATAAATAATTTTAATTAAATATAAAAAAATAGATAAAAGTAAAATAAAATTAAAATATAATATAATTAATAAAATCACAAATAAATATCAATAAGGAATTAAAAAACTAAATAAAAAAATTAAATGATATAAAACAAAAAAACTAGAAGAAATAAGATAAAAGAAAATATAACAAAGAAAAATATTATAAAAAATAAAATTAAATTAAATTAAGATCCATAAAGGAAAATACAATACAATAAAATATAAAATATATAATTTCTTGAAACGAAAAAAATAACTCAAAAGAATATAAAAAGAAATAAAATAAAAATAAAATAAAATAAATTAAAGTAAAACAAAATTTAAAAAAATTAAAACAAAATAAAATCAATTAAACTAAATAAAATACATTTAATATGCAAAACAACAAAAAAAGAAGAAAATAAAAAACAAATGGAATAAAATACATAATTTTAATTAAAATAAATAATTACAAAAAAATTAGAAAAAGAATAAGAAAATAAAAAATAAATGAAATAAATCAAAACAACAAAAAATAAAATGAAATAAAGTACACAATTTTAATTAAAATAAAATTAAATTTATTTAAATAAAGTAAAATACATTAAGTAAAAATAAATTATACAAAAATATACAAAATAAGGAAATAAAATAAAATAAATAATAAAACAAAATAAGATAAAATATAAATGTATTTTAAATATATATAAAATTAAGTACAATAAAGGAAAATAAGTTAAGGGAAAGAAAAATAAATAGAACCAAAACAATAAAAAATAAAATAAAAAAATGTGATTTGAAATTGAATTGAATAGATAAGAATAATAAATAATAAAAATGGTATTCAAAAAACAACCCATAAAGAGAAATAAAATAAAAATACAACAAAACAAAACAAGATAAAATAAAAATGAATTTTAAATTTGATATACATTAAATTAAATCCAATAAAGGGGAAAAAGTTAATGGAAAGAAAATTAATTAAAAACAAAACAATATAAAATAAAATAAGGAACGATTTGATTTGAATAAAAAAAATAAAGTTAATTTTAATAAAACGAATAAAATCAAAAAATATAATAAACAAACAACTAAATAAAAAAATAAAACAAAGCAAAATATATTACAACGGAATAAAATTTAAAAAAAAAAATAAAATAAAAAAAAAATAAAAAAAAAAAAAAAAAAAAAAAAAAAAAAAAAAAAAAAAAAAAAAAAAAAAAAAAAAAAAAAAAAAATATAAAAAAAAATAAAAAAAATAAATAAAAAAAAGATAAAGGAAAAGTTATTAAAATTAAGTAAGGAAAAAAATATCATAAAATGAAAGAAAAATAAATTTTTTTAAATACTTTAATTAAATAAGTTTAAATTAAAAAGAATAGAATATTAAATTAATATTTTAATATAAAATAAAACAGATAATAAGGCAAATAAATATTTACTCTAATTTATATTAATACATGAAAAATATTTCAATAAACACAAAAATATTTAGCAATATTTTATTTTCAACAAATTTTTAGAAGAATGGAAATTTTTGCAGCCATGCTAATCCGACGAATGCGTAAAATAATTATATGCGTTAAATGTCGTTTTTATTTATCGTCTTCTTTTTTTTTATGGCATTTTCTTTTACTTTTCGTGAATTAAATCTTATTTTCTTTACATCCTTCATCCGTTTAAGCTTCATTTGTGTAAATTTATAACGAAATTTCTTCTTCAATTTACGGTTACATTATATAGGCATTTTATTATGCTATAAATTTGAATGCTACTAACCTCAATATATTGTTTTACAACAACTTAGTAAAATATATATATATTTATTTCGGAGTGGTGTCATGTGCTTTTTTTTGCCCTAATCATTGGCGTCAGCAGCGTTAAACGCCCCTTTATTCATCAGGTTTATAAGGTTAATAAATATAATGAAATCATTACTGACACATTAAACTTTGATGCTTTCTAAGGCTAATTAAACGTTGTAGGGTGATGCAGCAAGGTTATGACACAACACACAACTGAAGTAATATATATAATACATATGTATGTGCATACATGTGTACGTATGTATGTACATAGTGCTTGTAATTGTGATGAGGATTAGTTGAACAACTGACTGCAGTAAGAATTTCAATGAAAATTTATAAAATTTCTTTTTGTTTTTTAATCGACGCATAAAACTAACTGCTAACCAACACTCTAATCATTAGTTAACAAACAATAGAACTGCTATAAAATTAAGTTTTACCACCGTTCAGCGTAAAAGAAATTAAAAATTAAACAATATTATTGCATTTAATTTAATTTCAAACTCACCCTTTTTCAAGTTAAAGTTTATTTATCTATGCTCCGTGTTTTTTTTTTGTTGTTGTTGTTTGTTGCTGCGAAATCCAAGTTGTTTGTTATTTTTCGTGTGTTATTTAATCCTTTGTGATGTTTATTTGTTTATTTATTTATCGATTTTTTCACTATGTTTAATTCATATAAACACTTGAGCAAAAAGTCTATTTCAATTTTCATTTATTTATTTTAGTATTCAGATTTCAATTATGATATCTCTTTCTTTTATTTTTCAGAAAAGAACACACTGCACAATTATTTATTTTAATTTTTTTTTTCAACAGAATTGCATCAACTGCACTTTGACGGCTGCACAGAATACACTTTTGTCGTAGACAGATAAACTTTTTAGGCTGTAAAGAGGCGTAGAGAGAGTGAAAATGATTTAATTTAAATTTGGAAGGGTAGAAAGGGTGACAAACGATGCCGGCAAAAAATATATACATACGTCGCTGAGCTGTTACAACAATACAAATGCATACACAGACAGCGGTTGAAGTGTACTGGGAGTGAGTAACGGTAAAGGATATGTGTATTATTTTGTGGTATTACATTAGCAGCTTCTTCTTACATAAATCTTGTACAGAATATTTTTATGAACTCAAAATTTACAAATTCACATGCCTTTTATTCCTCATGCACTTTCTTGCCTTTTCATACATATTTTAGGGTTGATGTTTATATGTTTCTTTTTTCCTCAACTTTTTTACTTCTTCTGTGCAAAACTTCAGCTTCTTTCTGCGTTATTATTTCATAACTCCTATAGCAGCCACTAGCTGCTCTCTTTCAACGAACTTTTCCCTAACTGCGATTCAGGATATTCTTTCCTTGCGCTCTCTCTCTCTCTCTCTCTGTCGCCTAAGCACACATCCATTTGTGCCGCTAAAACAAACGGCTGCTGGAGCCTGCTGTTGCTAAAGCAATGCATTTTTTTATTTGCTTCCGTTTTGTTGGTTTTTCTTGTTGAAGTTGCAGAGCGAGTTGCAAATTCGGGTTTGCCACAGTCTGTAGGGGAAGCGTAAGGTAAGGGACGGGATGTATTGAGCAAACCTGATGGAGTTGGTATACTAAAAAAATGTATATGTGTGTTGTTGTTATTTCATTTGTCTGTTGTCTTTAAGGTTTTGACGACATTTTGTGTTGCAGTTAAATATGTATGAGAATATGAAAGAAATTGTTTATAATTTGTTGGTGAAATATTTTTTGTGGAGAATCTGTTTGGAGTTAACTTTTTTTTATAAATTTAGATAAATGCAGAAAAAATTTTAATATGTAAATTAAAAATATTTGCATCAAAATTAAATTTTTCTTGCTAAAATTGAATAAAATTTATTCTACAATATGCACGAAACAAAAAAAATATTAAAAATTTTCGATTCATTATATCCAAAGCTATTATTTAAAAATCATTTGTAAATTAAACATATTTGTACATAATTTTTTTTTTTTTTTTTTTTTGTAAAAGTGAAGAAATTTATTTACCAATATAAACACAGAGAGTAAGCGAAATAAAAAAATTCAAAATTTACGATTTATTATTTTTCAAAATTTAAAATAAAATATATATATGCATATATATATAAATTAAAGTGCGCAAAAATTTTTTTCATATATTTAAAAACTTTGAATTTTATTCATTTCTATTTTCAAAACGTGTTTAATGATTTTAAAAAAAAAAATCAAAAAATTGTTTAAAGTGTTTTAAATGCTCTTAAAAATCTACATCTCCACATACAAACATCCATATATGTATTTATTTCCAACATTCTATCCATTTCACTTCTATTTTCATTTCATGCTTTTCCAATTATATTTGTACCCAAAATTTTAGTACTTAAAATAGCTGTGAAATTTGTGTATCTGCATCTTCGTTAATTACTTATAACAACACACGAAGGATGCACAAAAGGATGCGTACAATGTGCACACAACAAAAGAGAAACAAGAAACATTTTTCAATTCGTTCCAGTATGTTTTTGAATGTTCCAACTATTTTCGTTGCTGCAAATGTCTGCATGTTTTCCTATACAAATCAGCAGCGGAGAACTACAAAATTTTCGTTGATTTTAAATAAAAAGATATTGTTCTACATATGTATGTGTAGAAATAGTATTATTCATATGCCAGGAATGTGTTGAGCACATATTCAAGGAAGAATGAGGAACTTCATTTATCGCCGTATTTGTTTGTGTATATGTACAAATATATGCATGTAAATATTTGTGAGCGTCTTGTTGTAGCAGCAGACGTAGTATGTATAGGTAGAACTTTTTTGGTAATCAAGATATTTAATTTAATTTTGCCAAAAGAAAACAATGCAATTAAAAAAACGTTTTAATTTTTTTCTTTCAATTTTTTATTTTATTTTTAATTTTTGTATATTTGCTATTGAAGCAAAATTATAAAACTTTTTTTAAAAACTTAAAAATTTTGTTAGTTTCTTTTTCCTTTGAAATTAGAAATATTTAAGTTGATTTTAATGCAAAATTACATTATATTGTTTTAGAATTATGTTTTTGAAAATCTCTCAAAAATTTTGTTAAATATTTTTATTATAATTTTAATTTCTTGTTTAATCATTTTTAATGCAAAATTTTATTAACATTTCTTTAAAATTATGTTTTTAAAAATCTCTTAAAAATTCTGCTTATATTTTGAAGCAGTTTTTTTCTTGTTTGCATTTTTCTACAAACTGCTACTAATATTATTATTTCACAATTCACTTTCGATAATTTCTCGCATTTGTTTTGATTTTTTTTTTTTGTTATTAATTTTTTTAAAATTTTCTCCTTTCTGCCACATTTTTGGTGGAGATTTCATTTCATTCCATTTATGTCAACGATTTTTCGCATATTTTGCTCAGATATTGTATTTTTTCAAATGCCGAGAAATTGTTTCAAATTCTTATTACTTAAATTACCAACAAGAGAAAATATATATACAATTTTTTTTTTATTACTTTTTTGACTCTTTTCTTTGTTTTTCCTTTACATTACAAAAGAAAGAAACAACAAAATTCGAATATTTTATATCTGCACGTTATAAAACTCTCCACAGTCGCGTTTAACGTCCGGAACTGAACTGAATTCAAACAATGAAGGCGATAGCGTTTGCAGTCATCGTCGTCCGTCTGCTGCCTGCCGATTGGGAGCGCGCTGTCTGTGCAAGCGTTTACAGCGAGAGTAGTGACAGACATCCAATTGCTCAACATTTTTGATTTGGTTTGGAGAACGCGAAGCGTCTGTAGAGTAGCAAATAAAAAGCGTGTAGAGTAGTCCAACGGTGAGCGCAAAAGTTGTTAACAGACATAAAAGTACAAAAATAAAAATAAAATAAATAATAAACACTAATGTTAAGCCATGTACGCCAGCTGCGCAGCTGGGAGACTAGCGTCGGAGAGCAGTTTATTAAAATAGCCGCATTGCCTTGGCTGGCATAACTGAAGAAATGTGGTTCCACTGCTTTAGTCAGCCAAAGTCAAATCGACGCTGACGCTGCCACTGTTGCTGCTGTAGCTAAGAGATATCTACATATACGCCACCAAGCCAAATCAAGGAGATATTATATGTAGGTACAAACCCACTCAAAACCATATACATACATTACAACTGACTTTTTGTGCCGCCTTTACTGCACACTGTCATTGTTTCTCGGTAATATGTTGATAATTTTTGTTGTTGTACGCATTTGGCTGCATCAGCTGCCTGCAGGCATTCAAGATAAATACCAGCAATACAGATAAACAAACATACAACCAACTATCTCTTTAACTCTGCAGCATATAAAAACCTTTGACTAGTATCTAACCGGCGGCAACAACAATTAAATATGTTTAATACCTTATTAGCTCTGAATAGAAAATGCACATTGTCATGTGCGAGGGTAACGTTCTCAACAAGCTACGCATATTCTCTCTCCGGTGGCAAACAAGAGAGAGAGTGTAAATCCGCTCAGTAGAATATGCAAATTGTATATTGCCATATCTCATCCATGAGATCAACGAATAGACCGTTATGCAGTGGCGTCGCTTACGGGGACCCCTCTTGGAACCGAGGTACTAAATGCCAAAAATATTTACTTTTATTCAAACCAATAAGTAGAAGCAGAGAAGCGTCGTAGCTCTGGTCTTTTGCACCCTCCGTAGCCCTTACAATCCGCCGTATAATCACAGTGGTTTTATGATTCTTATTAGCTCCGTATTGAGTTGGTGGCTGAAGGAATCTACTTTAACATTTGAAACTTTCTTTATCGAATTTTTTAGTTTTTATGTTACTGAGTTTTAAGTTTAAAATATTTTCATTTTCTGAATTATTATAATTTTCACTTTCAAATAAATAAGATCAAATTTTATTAAAAATAAATTATTTATAAATTTATTTAAATATACTTGTATTGACATATATACATATATAGAGCTACTTATATAAATCGTGATATAGATAAATGAATCTATACTTATTTATTTACTTTACTGGCGTGGACACCGCTTACGCTATTATAGCCGATTTAACAACATTGCGCCATTCGTTTCTTCCTTTTGCTGTTTGGTGACAATTGGTAATACCAAGTACAACGAGGAGTGGAGGTCTTGCTCTTTCTCTGCTTCTACCAGCGGGTACGGCGTCGAAACCTTTTAAAGCTGGAGTATTCGCATCCACCCAGACCACATGAACTAGTCAACGTAGCATGACCTAGTCAACGTAGCCGCATCTTCTGACTCGCTGAACTATGTCGATGTCGCCGTTTAACTCACACAGCTCATCGTTCTATCGTCTGCGATATTCGCCGTTGCCAACGAGCAAAGGACCATAAATCTTACGCAAAATAGGACGGGAACGGTGAGACTTGTAGAGTTTGGTTTTCGTTCGTCTAGAGAGGAATTTACCATTCAATTGTCTACTCATTCCAAATTAACACCTGTTGGCAAGACTGATTCTGCGCTGGATTTCAAGACTTACGTTATTATTGGTGTTGATGCTGGTTTCTAGATAGATGAAATTATCTACGACTTTAAAGTTATGACTGTCAACAATGACGTGGCGTCGAATGCGATGACTGTTTCTTTGATGACAAAAAATTATAAATCATTCAGAAAATGAAAATATTTGAAAATAAATGTTCCAATTTTTTTTCTTCACTTAGAGAAAATTCCCCACAAAGAACTTCCTTAATTGTTTCGTATTTATTCGAAAACGGAGGAGGATTAATAACATCGATAATTTTGAAAATAGTTTTCTTTTAAGAGAAATTAAAACATTTGGAAATTTAATATTATCTTTGTGAAAATTGTTAATTTCTAATTGTCCTGAATTTAAAGTTTCAAATATTTTCATTTTCTGAATGATTATAATGTCACTTTCTAACAAACAAATACAATTTATTAAAATAAGTAAAATATAAAAGTTAGTATTTAGATATAAAAATATGAATAGATTCATTTAGCTATAGTGGCATATGAAGTCGAAACTTATGCTTTTTTTAAATATTTGCAATAATTCTCAAGTCATGCCCATATTGGCCAGCGACCTACGTGGACTGGACGTATGGCTTGCAGGGGAGCATGTTGCGCGGGCGCTATTCGCCTTTCATCTACAGACGAAACTTTGTGGATGGTAACAATTTATCTTCCTATATTAGCGTTGAGGGCACGATCTACACCTCCCATGAACGCATTGTATTGGCTTACAAGGGACGGACATTCAATCTCGATATACTTTTTTCCAACTTAATCGTATCTTTCGGCAAAATTTTTAGGAATTTCACCCACGAAAGGAGATGCTAGATTAACAATTTTGTCGTCTTACCATGGAACTGTTGTTATTTCAACTCTTTCGACACTGTAAACGAACTCCACAGAAGATCCCTTTTTACAAGAATTGGCAAATAAGTAAAATAATTTTCAAAATAAAGTTGATAATTTTGATTTCTGGACGTGATATGCGCCAGTCTCACGATCATATTTGAGGATGTATCCAGTCAATCATCAATATCTGATCGGTTTCTAAATAATCTATCGTAGTTTTGGTACAATAATGCCAGATTCTTGATATTAACAATGAAATGTAGAAGACGTCGGATTACATTGCTGCATTTATTTTGCAGCCGTCGCTGCTCATTCAAAACAAGGTTTTATATAAACTTCTCTCTTTCCTCCAGCACGTACTGCATCGAATACTTTTAAAGTTGATGTGCTTTCATACATCTATACGCTCCCATTACCGGTCTTTATATTTGCTCAAATATGTTAATGCCGAATGGCGCAATAGATTTGCGTGCTAATATTCGAAAAGTCAGTTGTCGAGTCCTCCGAGAATAAATATTTAAAATTAAAGGAAATTAATTTAAATAAATAAATATTATATTTGATAAATAAGCTGGCAAAGATTGTTAAGCCATATCTTGTGGGTTTTTCACAAGTAGTAAATGTTCTTCATTAAAATCATCGACCCTTTGGATGCGGTTTAATAAGGTGTGTCCCATAAATTGAAGTAGGAGAAAACTACTTACGCCGAACTATCGGATGGTGTCATCATCAAAGTCTTTGCATTATTTAGAAAGACAGATATGATCGGCGAATGGAAGAGCTGGATCCTTTTAGTTCAAAACATCTTTGATGTTACCTGAAATCCACCATTAGCAGGTCTTTTATATTTTTCACAGAGAGCGCCCATTTTCAATTGATATTTGCCGAATCTAAATCTTATAATTGTTTAATCAGCGTAATCCTAGCGTAGCTATTGTCTTATTAATGCAGTCACTAATTACCTAAGATTAAAAGCTGACATTAATTAATAAAATATATATGTATGTACAATATAAGAATGCGACTTGCGATCGTCGAGAGATTTTCGACGAATCCTACGTTGAAGGGAAACAACCTTCACTATGTCGGAAGATAAATCGACAGATTCACTTATGTATGTATGTGCACTCGCCAAATATGAAAGAGATCTTCGGAAGGACAACCACATTCGTCTCCAGCAACGATGAAATTGGAATCAAAAATATACTACCATCAAAATTCTCTCATTTCCCGGTCTAAAATACATTCAACTCTTGCAGAATTGGAGTTGTGATCGTAAGATATCTAACGCGATCTACTAATAACAAGTCGCGCACATTCTTTTCCAATGGGGATTTTGACCCCTTCTATTTATTTTTCTCTTCACGCCCAGGGGAAAATGTAAAACACCTCTAAGATTAAATTCTCATCAATATCTCATTACAATATTAAAACACTGAGCAATGAGCACCGAAATATGCCAATTCCAAAAGTGCCCCATGTTTTGTGTTTATGTTCGTATGTATATTTAAAACTGCGTGTGTGTAAATATTTTCTCTGGGAAGAAACTCAACTCTGCATGTGGTAAAATTCCGATTACGCTCACAAAAATCAACTACGAGCACGTTGTCCGCTCCAAGATATTAACAGAGCAACTGTTATGATGCTGTTAACTTAACAGCTAATAGTCAATAAGGGTAGCCAGGTAAACGAGCAGACAGTCAGGTAAACTGTTTTACCTGAACAAATGCTCAATAAGGCATGGAGTTGTTGTCTAAATAATGTGGAAACTTCCTGTATTTGGTTGTTGTTGTAGAAGTTGTGTTTGTACGTTTGTGGATTTTTGAATGCCTAGTAATAACTCAAAATTCCAAAAAATTAATGGATATTAATTTTGGTACTAAAAATAAATTTTTTCCTTTCATAAATTTTTTCCGTTAGTTTTGGAACGTCATTTTGCAGAATATTTTTTTTTTAAATTTGCGCCTTAATAATTATATATTTAAATAATAACATATATTATATTATATATGTATATGTATGTACCTGAATAATTGAAAAAATTTCCCAAAACATTTTGTATGTTTATTAAATCTCCAATTATTTCCGCATAATAAATAAATAAAACGAAAAAAAAACTATTAATTTCAAAGTATTATCTGTATGACTCTTTCTTTACCCCATGATAAGTATGTACAGGGACATATGGACATATATACATATGTATTCGATCAGAGTTTGCTGCCATACATTTCTATTTACATTCATACATAAATATGTATTGACCGTTGACATTCAGATCTATATACATACATACATAGCACAGATAGCTATACATATTAGGGTAATCCAAAAAAAAAATCGAAATTCATAGAAATTAGATAGATATTTTATTTTAATTATTTTAATTTTTGTATAAAAATTTGCTAAATTGGGTTAGACCTAGTATAGGTGTTGTTGTTGTTGTATTAGCGGTTCGTCTACACCGCTTAGAGCTCTTTGTTGTTGTTTTAACCACAAAAATATTCACCAAAGTGTTTTTTGGAGAATGTTGTGGGAGTGTGAGTCCTTTGCCGAGTCAAGTTGGTGTTTGGCTTCCGAGAACGCCGTTCACGGGAAGAGAGTTCAAGATGGTGCTTACGCACTGACGGGGAATGGAACCTTAAGCTGTTCTGTCCAGCGGTTCTTGTATATGATGCCGAAGGGAGTCTGTATAGTCAGGCTCAAATTCCCTGTGTCTCGCTAGGCTCCGGCAGTGCAGTATAGTTTACGGCAGCATAGTTTACGACCGGCCTTGTAGACTGTTTCTTTATCTTTTCCCCAGGTGCTGCCGGCTACCACCGCTTTGAAGATTTTGTTGCAGCTCTGAAGTTTTGCGGCAATTACAGTCGTATATGGAGTGAAGGAGTGCAGGCGTCGAATGTGATACCCAGCAAGTTTGTTTTATTAGTTGTCGGAAGTTTTACTACATTGACTATTACAACGAGTTGGAGCCGGTACTCTTTCATTCAGTTGGTAATG